ACTACATCCAAATTATGAGAGGGCGAGAATATATCAGAGGCGAAATATTATTCATTCCATTAGAGAACAAAAGCCGCAAAACTGGCGTCGATATTTGAAACTTCATGCTTTAAATTTTTTGCTGTGTGCACGCAAAGTCGGAAGAGGCCTACCTATTTCATTTGAGAGAAATTATCTATTCATATTGTTTATCTATTGAATAAGGTTAACCTACGCCAAATAAAATGGTAGTGAGCATGGCTGTACTACGGATGAAGGGACGTATCCCGTGTATATCTGAATTCGAAGTCACAGTTCTAGAGAGACAGGAGGAAACCACAGGCGGGACAGGCAAATAGACTGGAATATCATTCAGGAAAAAAGTTATGTCTGTGTCTTATCCGCCGCTTATCATTCCAAAGTGCTTACGCGTTTGCCCAAAGACTTTTTCGAAACTCTCAGTTTAATAAAAGTATTTAATATGTGGATATATATGTCTTGCTTCCATTGCCGACAGAAGCCTCGTCGGATAGGATTCTCCTACGCAGCAAACCCGTACGCTATGTCTGTATCAGTCAGTAGTTATAAACCGGCCGCATTGTTGCACTCAAAAGCCGAGGCATTGTTTTCAATTAGCCACATTTTCCCGACTCCAACTTTCCGTTCACCAGGTCTCAGCGTTCTGTGGAGAGGGCGGCATATAGTCTAGCTGACGACTCAGGCTACTTCAGGCCGTTTTATAATCAAACCAAAGTTTAATCATAGTCGAACTCGACAGTCTCCTGGGGCATCTACGCAACCAAGCTCAGGGAAGGACGGCTTCATCCCTCGCGAAGAAAGGGTGAGAACATTTCTACGGAAGAAATTCTGATTATATCACCCGCTGCAAACTGACCGTAATCGAGGAGGCTAAACACGCAACCGAAGCGCTAAACGAGACAATAGCCTCATCCGGCAAAACGTACTTGTCGGAACAAGAACAGTTAGATGAAGTTGATGCGGTGAGCACAGGACTGATCCTCATAATTCTGGAGTAGCCTTCATTACCAAGGGCGAAAACATCAGCAATTTGCCTTTACTCCCACACGAGACCAGGGACCTCTTCATCTCAACAGGACTACCACTCTATGGAATATAATTATTAACTATAATCAGCGTCTACACCCTTATAGTGGCAAGCAGTGAGGACGCGAAGATGTTCCACAAAAATCTATACGTCCTCCCTGCACCTGAGCCGGAGGCGGGCAGATTAGTTGTCCCAGACGACCTCAATGACAGTTCGACTGTCGGGCCCGACGATGTCCACAGTGTGCCCCACAACAAGGTGAAGCGCGCACGGTGGCTTGAGCGTGAATTCGTTTATAGTGAGGGTAGACTTTCGAGGCATCTACCTCACTCTCTCCTACCCACCTGGACTCGGTGTCAAGTCATAGTCAAGAAGACCGGAGGCCAACGAGGGCACATGCGTCTGGCACGGCCGGATCCGCACCTAGGCTTACCACCGTGCCCCCTGGTCCACAACAAACACTTGACCAGAATTTTAACCAACAACAACAGCGGGTCAGAAAGACGAGGGTGACCGGGCAGCCATGCTCACGACTTGTGTGCCCAGCGGGGGCGCAAGCGCATCTACTGACCAGGGAACCAGGTGCCAGAGAACTGCCAGTGCAAGAGCCACGGTTTGCTGAATAATGTCTCAGCAGACGCTCGCAAACCTTAGGGCCCAGCGGACCTCAATACTCGCTTAAACGCAGATTAGGACACCTGGGAAGAAATGCTCGATCGTCGTGCTTTAGTCTGTGGCTGTCTGTTCTCACGGTCATCAGCGTCGCCGCTTTCCCCCGTCGCCCTACGCGCGTGATTCAACCTTTGGCTTGCGATGCTGTAACGCCCATGAATATTTCTCCCTACCAATTAGTCGCAGTCGGGCGACGTTCGGGTGCA